ACCTCGGCCATGCATGCTTGAGGATTTTTAGATATGGAGAACATCAAGTCGTTTGACTGTACTCCCAATCTTGCTATGAAAGCAGTAATCACAAATTTCTCGTCTGGGATGTCTACCTTTAGGGATTCCGAATTAAACCTTTGAACATAGGACCTTAGGTTTTCTTGAGGTCTCTGCTTCACATTTAGCAAATGGTAGCTCAGCCTCATGTATGTCTGAGTTCCAATGAAATGAGACACAAAGGATATCGAGAGTTCTTTAAATGAGGAGATCGAGGTTGGGGGAAGCCGGTTAAACCATGCTAAGGCTGATCCTTTCAAGGTTATGGCAAAGGCGCGACAACGAACATGATCTTGATATTCATGCAACTCCATCTGATTTTTATAGGTATTCAGGTGGTCCATAGGGTCTCTAGTTCCATCAAAAGCTTCTACCTATAGCATTCTGAATTTCTACGAGAGGGGGAAATGCAATACCCCAAGAGTAAACGAGGACTCGGTTTGCTACACCAAGGCGTCCATAGTTACTAGGGTTTTACTCCTCACAACCTCCTTTATGTGGCTGAGCTCCTGTTGAATATCTTTAAAGTGTTACTCCCAATATTGGTCTTTTCGCTCCTACTGGACTAGGCGGAAGTTATTCTTTTGAATCTCATTACTTCGGCTTTGCACTTCTTCATTGTCTGCGTTCCACAAAGGAGGTTAGGGAGCCTGGATATTTTCTCCTCCTTTGTCGGCTTCTCTGCATGGGTCAAGAGGTCGTTGTTCCCTGTGAGAGGGATCATTCTAGCCTCCTTGAGCTGGTTGCTTCTCGTGCGATTGTTGTAAAAGCTTCAGGAGTTCTTCATTCTGCTTTAGCAGGCGTTGATTGACCAAGCGGAGGGCTTCTAGCTCATTGTTCGTGGGAGGATCCACCACAGGAGGATTAGCATCAGGTGGGGAAGAAATCTTGTGGATCTTCGTGTTGTCTACTAGTATTTTCTTGTTGGTGCTACATCCGAGGGGGATTCACTTGACTTTTGCTCATATTTCGGTTCGAGACCATCAGTTACTGAAGGATCAGTGTACTTCTAACGAGAACAGTCATTTTCACAGACATCATCAAACTGATGGCATAAATTAACGTGGATGAGCAGAAGGTTGAAATTTTGCTTGGCGATTTGGATCTGAGCTTTTAGGCTCGTGAGGATCGTGATAAAGAATTTTAGGGATTGAGGAGATTTACACAGTGAAAATATAGTAGTTCACCAGTTCGGGAGTTTGGTTAATCCACTCTTCAATGCAGACTCTTGCTCTTCTTTTATTAATAATAGGGGATGGAATTTATATTATGCTTCTATTGCTACTCGGTTCCTTGCCCCATTTTGGAGGCATTGTACAGTATTTATAGTGCAATTTCAATTCCTAAGGATTTTTAGGCATGATCTCAGCAGAATCTTCCTTGATTTTTGGGGAGAGGATCTCAGTTAATTGAGAATTTTACGTCTGGACTGCTGCCCCACTATCATCCAGCTATTCCCTTGCCCTCTCTGTTTTTGACTTGTCTGGAAGGGAGTCTAGCTCAGGTTCCTTTGAGCCCTGCATATCATGTCAGACCTCCTTACCTAACTTCGGTTCTTGGGCTCATACTTGACTGAAATTCTTTTGAGTATCATCAAAGCTCAATGCTTCTAATTATTTTTTCCCAATGAATATAAGGAACAAGAAAAGAAAAAGTTATCCAGCCAACGAAATTGATTGAAATACGTTCTTTCTTGAGGGACCATACATTCGGAAGAAAGTAGAAATGATGGTTTTTCACTGAAATTCCTAGTATTCATGCGTAAAAAATGTAATAAAAATTTTATTTGGAAATCATTTATTTTACTTTACGGGTGAGTCGGAAGTAAAATAAATGCTACTCAATAGTTTATTTCACTTTTATGGCTCACTGGTAAGGCCAACTAGCCATTAATTTGTGAATAGTAATAAAGACGCATAAAAGTGAAATAAACTATTGAGTAGCATGAATCAGAAATAAGATATACAAAAATAAAAAATTTAGAGTACAAGTTACCATGTAAATCATAAAAAGGGAACACTTTCTATTTGAAATTTTTGGACTTGCATCTACTCTGAGATCTAAAGCATTATTACTATTAGATTTGCAATAGACACTATCCAATACTGAAAACTATAGTTAATCCCATAAAAGAATTATACACTTTAATTCGATAAGTAGATAAAATAAAAGAATAATACTCGTTAAATTTCAATATTTTACTCTTTAATTCTATAAGTAGATAAATAAAATTCAAACAAAACACACTAAAAAAATTATAAAAATTTAGGTCCCTTACAAATGTGGGGCCCTAAGCAATGGCTTAGATATTCCAAAATGTTTATTAATATTTTAGTCAATGTTTTAGTAATGAATTTTAAAATTTGTTATCGGTTTTCATTTTGTTATTGAAATATTTTTAAACTAGATTTATTTCTTGAATGATCAAAATATTTCTAAATTCAAAATCAACCAGTTTAATTTAAATGAATAGCACGTGGTGCATTCAAACACCGATATAGAGAACTTAACATGTTGGCAGGACCATGGTGGTTAATGGACTCTCACCAGATTTCACATGTGTTTAACGTGGTAGGAATGCTAGTGCCCTATCGCTTGAATGGTTGGAAGTCTTCCATTTTCTTATCTCGGCGGCTGTTTATTTGTGTTGTTGTTCATACAAAACTTTCAACATCACTTTTTGTCAAGTACATACTGAATATCCACCACACAATATTTTGCCGATAAATATCTAAAAACGAATATATTTTGAATATGAAAGTCCATTTTTGGAGCAATATGTATAAATTTTAATTTTAATCTTTATCATTTTATATTCAGTTCACGTATAATGTAACACATAAAAAATTTGTATAACATTAATGACACATGATTATTTTTTAAGTATTATTTATTTTCTCTTTTTTTTTTTTTGGTACTTGAATCTATTATCTCCTATTAAAAGATAATAAAATGAATTCATTGCACTATATCTCTCAACAACAAGTAATTTCAAGCAAACTAATTATTTACAGTTTGGTTCTAATTATTTTAATTAGTCACGTTTGTATCATAATGAAATAATTATTACTTTTTTGTGACTAGAAGTTAATAATATTTTTGCTATTAGTGTTAAATAAATTACTAAAAATTATAACTATGCCGTCGATAAATATTTGCTAAAGAATAAAATATATTCTATTATATACATATCTTGGTTGTATTTGTGTTTTAATTTTTGAAGTTTCAATATATTATATTCTACTCGTATCGTGTATTTATATCAATGCTTTTTTTTTTATGACAACTTAGTTTGTATTCATTTTGCGGGTAATATCAATTCTAATATAGGTTTCTTGAAATAACATATTTCTTTGCTATGAAAAGCAAAATTAAGTTTGAATTACGTCTCAAAAACTGTATCTCTCACGTTATAAGAGATTTAAGAATAATATTTTTTTTTTGTTCCTCATAAGAGATGATAGAAAAGTTGATCAAGACAATTACCCTCACAAGTCGAGGGGACTAGTCCAGCACCATAAATTCCTAGGTAGACTTTTCTTAATACACTTTGGTTGGCTTACACGTTCTTCTCCAAGTTAGGCGGGGTATTTGGAAGTAACTGCTTGTAACAAGTAGTTATATTAAACCCTTCTTTTACTCTATGAATCTCTCATCTGCAGCATTAAATTCATTGTTTAAGTATTTATACCTCTTACACATTACTTTGGCAGAGGAAATTCACTTGCAGTTGTGGTCTCTGGATAAATTATTCCAGAACAAATAAATAGTTCCTTCCCTACTTGAATTATGTCCACTTACACCATAATCATCTCCACCATTATCATAATATTATCCACCTACACCGAACTGTATTACGAAATCATCCCTAACGATCTTGGTCAAAGTAAGCATATACTAAACATGAATATCTCCTAAAGCCACAGGCAGAACACCTGGTAGAGAGACCCAATCTTAAGTGAAATAAATACGGCGACTTCGATCTTTTTCAATAATACCATAACGCAATAAATCAACAAATTCCAAACTCCCTTTCGCCAGTAATTTCTATCAAATAGGTTCCCCATAACTTGAATTTAAGTTTTTAGCAGTGCTTCACTAACCAATATTTAAACGATTTGATATATCTAATGAAATGTAATTTGCAAGATTAGTGGGTCTCACTAAACCCACCAAACATTCAATGATGATTGAGATGTTGTCATATTATTTGGTGCAATAAATTTGAGGCTACATTTTCCGTAAGTTTTTTCTCTATAGTTGGGTTTTGTTAAGAATGTATCTAAATTACAGCTTCATTTCCGTTAAAGATTTTTGAAGGGTTTGAAGTGAAGCTCTACTGACCTTGATTTGCAGGTTTATATGTACGTCCACTCTGATATGTTTTATGTCTTTCTGATAGACTGTTGTGGTGTTATGAATTTCAATAGACGAATTTGATTTTGCATTTGGATCGAGTATAGTTTCAGTTGTTTTGCTATCCTTCTGGGTTTGAATAGGTTTTCCATTCTCAATGGAATTCCTTTTCGGGGGAAGATTTATTTGAGAAGAATATGATTTTATGATATGAACTTAGCCAGATTTAGAATTAAGATTAAAGAATCGGATCTTATGGATTATCTAATCATAAGGAAAAAAAAAGAGTTTGAACTTTCTTCATCTACTTCTTTGTCCCAATTTCTAGCATCCTCCCTCGAATTTATTTAGAAGTTGACATGACAGTTGACTTAAACTTCTTTAGTGTTAGTGTTACGTCATTTAGAGTTTAATAAAATTTTTAAATAATATGTTATCATGTTTTTAGGCATCTATATAAAGAAAGCTCGTTACTCACCGAGCCGTAAATCTAGAGACACCCTTCTCTTCCTTCTCTTCTCTGTCGACCACCCTAGATTTCTCTACAGAACAGACCAACCCAAAAGAAAAACAAAATAAAAAAAATGTTGAAATCTACTGTCCACCGGTCAAGCCCTGCACAAACCCTAATCCAATGGCGCAAACCGTTCATCTTTAGTGAGACCACTGCACCATTTCTTCTCCAGCAGAAGTCTGTAATTCCCAAAAGAGAGAAGAGTTTTCGTGTTCGTTCCGCTTCGACCACCATTAAAGCAGTGCCGAGCTCAATTGATAAATCCTCCGGGACCACCACCGTTAAAGTTGTTGTTACAGTTCTTGTAACGTCCCGCGGGTTCCTACTCGAGTTCCTATCAAACCTCGAGTTGACCAGTTGGCTCGATTATATTTCCGATTTGTTTGGTAGATCAATCCTCTTGGAGCTTGTTCCTGCTGAGCTTGATCCCAGTAAGTGCTCATCAACAAGAGGATACAGAACTTTATTTTAACAATATATTGGTACATAATTTAACAATATAATTTAACAACATAATATTTTGATTTAATGATATTTCTTAGGCTTTGAGGTGAAACCCTCTCCCATCACCCTCCCAAAAAAACAAAGTGATTTTTTATTATGTTATTTTCTTATATTTTATTATTTTCATAATCAATGACTATTTTTTACATATAGCCCAAACTAAGATTCACAGTTCATTACTATTTTTTACATGACACTCAAAATTAATTCTCGATACCATAACCTTGTCCTTTTAAATCTATTGCCTTTTGACCATTAGATTGATTGATTGCATTAGACTCTTGAATTTTTGTCATAAATTAGATGTTAATTTCATTACTATAACAATTATAGGACTTGATTTTAAGTGATATTTTTTTGGCTTTTCCATCAGATATATTGACTATCCTGAGAAAAATATTATTTAGGATAAACAAAGGGTAAATATCATAAATATTCCCTTAATTTTGCAACTAGTTTAATTTGTCATATGTTTTTGATTTATTTTGAATTTTATCTTTGAATTATTAAATTTGTGAGGCTCAGAACAATTGACTTGTCCTTTTATTTGTTTGCTTTGCTGGAGAAATGGATAAAAGGCAAGATTTTCATGATTTTAAAAATTGAAGGAAAAAATTGAGAAAAAATAATCGTATCCCCTACTCCAAATCAAGTTTGATCACCAATCATTAATGATGTGTTTGTTAGGAGTAGCAATGCACCACGTTAGTTAGTTGCATGTAAATAAATTTAAATAATATTTTTTTATAAACAATATGAATTATATGTGTAATTAAATTAAATAATAAATTAATTGTCGAATAATTATTTTGTATTTTAATTATAGTAAATTTAATTATTAATTTACTCTATATAAAATTTTGAGTACCTAATTTGTCATTTATTTATCTACGACTTCTTTAGGCATTTGTACATCTAATTATATTAAAGAATTATTAATTTTTATTATTATATTATTGTATACCAAAAATAAAATATAACAATTTGACTATGGAATTGAATATGATGACTACATATCTATAATAATTTAATGTATAAATGATTTTACTCCATTCATATAGATATAAAAATTGTACATAATTGTACTACTAATAAATCAATGGTTGGCCTAATAGTCACTGTAATCTGTTGTTGAACCGTTAGGTGGTCCCAGGTTTAAATCTCACTAGTCTGCTCCCCTATATAAAAAAAACTTATAATAATTAGAGATAAAATAAAAAAATTAATTTTTTTTTTTTTTGCAAATTTTGACATTTATAAGTAGCATAAATAGTATAGATATAGATAGATAGATAGAAAAATAGGAGGAATAAAAGTAGGAGTGATATATTTTCTATTCTCGAAAAAAATAAATTTTTATTTCCTCCTTTGGTTTTTTCGCAATAGGGATGGAAATAGGGAGAATTGATTTTTTTTTTTTTTTTTATGTTTGTAATGTATGAAAAAGTAGAAGGAAAAAAAATACACAATTATTTTTTAAAAATTGTATCCAAATATGAAATTAGTACATACATGTGTCAATTGTCATAAACGAATACTAAATTATCCAAATTTTAACAAGCAATTAATTTATTTTCCTAATTTTAGAGGGATATATTTTGATAAGTTGAAAAGAAGATTAATAGTTTCATTTTTTTTATTAACAAATCAAGATGCTTTTATCCATCATTTCTATTTTTCATTCTTTCATTTTTTATCGCATCAAACAAATCTTAAATTTGTTGCCATCTTGTTTCCTGCCGGTAAACTGACTCATGTGCATTTTGTATTAAATGTTAATTACTATAAAGGCTATTTCTAATCAAATCAAGGGTATGGTTGGAGTGGTTAAAAAAGTTTACTCTCTCTTTTAACTTTTCATCAAATCAAAATGGGCAGGATTATTGGAGTTGTTAAAAAAAATTTACTTTCTATTTAAACTTTTTATCAAAGATTTTTTTATTTTTAAAATAGATAATAATATTGAAGATGCTCATAGTAGTTATTAAAATTTAGAATTGATGGAACCTATTCCACCTTTGCTACCTTAAAAATTGTATCTTTTGATTAACATGTATAAGGTTTGAGATTATTCAAATCAAGCCTAATAAATGTTTCATTCTGCTCAATAAACAAAATTATACCGTTTCAATCACAATCCCCATCTTTTAACATAGATTTAATTCAATTTGATCAATGGTTCCTTTATATGACATACAAGTTATTTAGAAAGTTCTGTGATGAAATTCTTACTTTCAATTTTTATCACTAAAATTGATTAATTTTTGTTGGTATTTTTACCACTGTTGTAGATATTTTTATCACATTTGTGGTAACTATTTTTATCACTTTTATTTGGTATAAAAAAATTATTACATTTATAGGTATTTTTACTACATTTGCTGATATTTTTACCATATTTGTTAATGTTTTTTTTTATCATTTTTGTAGTAATTATGTTTACTATTTTTTGGATATCATAACAATGGTAAAAGGACCCACAAATGTTATAAAAATAACCATAAATGTGGTAAGTGGAGGTATGGTAAAAATAAGTAAAAAATATAAAAAAAAAAATTAAAATTAAACTCTATCTCCTGTAAAAAGTAAAAATAAATTTATTTTATTTTATTTTACTTTTGTTTGTTGGATTCTGAAACTCACAAAAAATTGTTTTATTGTTTCTTTTTTTTATACTTTTTTGGAAGAGACGGGATTGGAGAAGAAAACAATCAAGGGATATGCACACCGGACAAGCAACGACGGGAATGAGGTGAAGTACGAGTCGGATTTTGTAATTACTCAAGATTTTGGGGAGATTGGTGCTATTTTAGTACAAAATGAGCACCACAAGGAGATGCATCTGCAGACTATAGTTCTTGATGGATTTCCTCATGGGACTGTTACTGTGACCTGTAATTCATTCGTTCATGCAAAGTTTGATGATCCTGAGAAGAGAATTTTCTTCACCAACAAGGTCAGTCACCGTCATGTTTCTTAATATCTGTTAAACACCCATAAAGTCGCTCTTTCTTTCTTTCTTGCGGGTTAACCCAAGAACATTAGAAAAAATGGGACCCACAGTTTAACTCCATCCAGGAAATTAGAGTAAGGATGTGTGGTTGGATTCAAAACTGAAAAAATAATAGTAGCTACTGACCGAGAGTACATATTTTTGTGGCGGTGGTTAGAAGTCTTTTTAATCACTTTGTTGGACTAGTCAAGCATTTCACCCTACAAACTTGATAGCTATATGAAGACTTATACGATTGTAGTTAACTATGTGGTCCATCTATAAAATGTCTCATTCATATCAGTTCAACGATAAGACTATGATACCCTGGAGTTACCCTGTTGAAATTACCATGCAGCCATTGAATTTTAATTTGGGCGATTTAAAACCAGTAAAATGGAACTTAGTAATAGGGAGGTGGTCCTCGTAGAAACTTGATAGCTATATGAAGACCAATACTGTCATTGTTAATTAGGTCCAGTATTGAAAAATAAAATTTTCCATTATACCTATATTTCATAATTTTTTATTTATACAATCAGTAGTTATAAATCAATGAAATTAAAATCAACCGTTGTTGTTTAATTCCTAGTTGACAGATAAATAGGATTTATTCTATATATGGGTCGGGTCACACTATTTTGGAGTCAAATTTTAATTTGAAATACTTATGATTTTTTTTTGGAAATATATATAATAAAGTAGTTTACAATTATAATTTCAAAAGATAACAAAATGACTTTTGTTATTCGCAATTGAAATCGTTTTAAATTTTATTTTAAAATTAATCTAACGGCTAATATTAACACCCTAAATTTAATAGGAAAAATAGGTCACTAAGGGTGTATTTGGAGTACTATTTAAAAGTATTTTTAAAAATTATTTCTCATAAATACTTCAAAAAAACAATAATGTTTGAAACCGCACCACCACACACCACCACCACCGCCACTGCCACTTCCACCATCGTCATTGTCGCTACCGCCCGTCACCACCACCACCACCGCTATTGCCGCCACCACTGCCACTGCCCTTGCTGCCACCACAGTTATTACCATCCATCACAACCATCACCATCTCCGACCATTACCACTGCCGCCCGTTACCTTTCACCACCATTATAAATCGATGTTTAAATTTCTTTACCTCTTCTTTATGTTTGTGATTTTATTTTGGATATGAATACAAATATGTTTATTATTTATCTTTTTTTATTACTTTGTACCTTCATGCACAGACAATAATCAGTAATAAAATATAATAAAAAACATAAAACAAATACACTTTACATGTCACACTCAATGGACAAAAAACATAGGCAAGATATAAAAAGTAAAATCTGCAACTCTTGTGTGGAGACTACACGATTCTCATATATCAAAGCTAGTGTAGGTGGATTCGAATTTTATCAACATTCAACTAATTAGGAAAAAAAGGTTAACATGACTGATGCATTGCGAATATTTCCTTTTTTAGGGGGGTGGGGTTGAATTTTATGTTTAATGAGAAAATCTACCCCCGTTCTCTTTCTCTGCCAAATGCGCTATAATATATATGTGTGTTTGTAACGTGCAGTCATACTTACCATCGCAAACACCAAGTGGGTTGAAGAAGCTGAGGGAGAAAGATCTAACACTTGTCCGAGGTGATGGCCAAGGAGAGAGAAAGGCATTTGAGAGAATTTATGATTATGATGTTTATAACGATCTTGGCGACCCCGACAGCAGCGACGACTTGAAACGACCGGTGCTTGGTGGCAAGGAACACCCCTACCCAAGGCGTTGTCGAACAGGTCGCCCACGCACTGAAAAAGGTAGGGAAGTATGGCATAGTTTATCTATGATATTTGGATTTAATTTTGTTGATTTAATCAGCCACGGTTATTTAATTTTGTTATTTTGGATATATATGTATTCCACGTCAATAAGGATTACTTCCCTCCAATTTGGGTTTAATAACCAGTCTGATAGGATTGATGCAAAAATGAAAATAAAGAACATTGGAGCAATACACTTTATATTTTCAGAGAAAAGAAGTATTTATGGTTATCTTTTCTTTAATTTCTTTTGCTTAATTTTTGAGGGAATTGATTTTGATGAGTTAGAAAAAAAAACTAATATTTCAAAAAAAAATTTATAGCCATATACGATGTTTTAGCTGAATTTTTATTCATTAACTTTTCTATCATTATAGAAAAACAACAATTTTTTTATTCGTAAAATAATTAAAGTGTGAATATATTGACTAAAGAAAGAGAGAAGTAAGGTCTAGAAGAACTTTTGATACACGTAATCAGTTACACTTGGATTTTATACTGCATGCATTAGTTAAACTTAGATTATTTCACTTGTGCAAATGCAGATAAATTGTCGGAGTCAAGGGCGGGCAGCGTGTATGTGCCAAGGGATGAAAACTTCTCAGAGGTGAAGAGCGCAACATTCTATGAGAAGGCTACGTACTCAGTGTTGCACGCAGCGCTGCCATATCTAGAGACAGTGATCGACCCGGACCTTCGCTTTCCATACTTCACGGCCATAGACTCACTGTTCAATGAGGGGGTGGAGCTACCCGAACTTGAAACTCAAGGCCTCCTCGGCATTATATCCAGGCTTGTGAAATTTGTTACTGGTGTTGGAAAAGATATCTTGCGCTTTGACACCCCTGAAATGGTTGACAGTAAGCCTGATTTTTAACTCTCTCTCTCTCTCTCTCTCTCTCTCTCTCTCTTCACCCGGTGTGTGTGTTTTGATCGTTTTCTTAGGTGATGCTACACTAATTAAATAATGAGATCAAATGATCCGACAATGATGTAGTGACACTACTAAACAAAGCTTCTGGACTAAAATTTAAAGTGAGTTTCAAATTGAAATTTAAAACTATTTTTAAAACTTTGTTCTATATAAATTTAAAAAAACTTTGGGATTGTGGTTTAAAAACCAAGAGCCAATCGAAGCATTGCTTGGTCACCACTGTCACATTGCTTAATCAGTGCAGTTTTTGTTCTATTATTCGGTCCGTATAGTATTAACTCGTTTACGTTGATTGATATATATGTTATGTTATAAATGCAGGAGACAAATTTTCTTGGTTTAGGGACGTGGAGTTTGGTCGGCAGACCCTGGCAGGTCTTAATCCATATAGCATACAGTTGGTCAAGGTATGTTTCCACATGCAGCTGGCTAGAATAACAATGTTAAAAACTGTGTTTGTCCATATCAAGTGCTGCTTACGTGTACATCAAACAGTAGTGCTACTATATATACAATTGAATTTTCACAGCGAACACAACTCAATAAAGAAAAAGTAAAATGAAAAGCACAAAATAAATGATACCTAAAGAATTGTATAAAAATCACTGTGAAAAAGCGACATCAAACAGTAGTACTATCAGGTGCTATACATGGAATTGTAATTATGCTTCATAACGATCAAGACCAAACCTATTTGAATCTAATTTAAAAACATAATTCATGGTAGTCCTTCGATTGACAATGAGTTCTAAGTTGTATTGACGTAGGGGAACAAAGAATACAAAGAACACTCGATTCTTTATGCATGCTTTCATTTAGCATTTGAAGCATGATAAAAATATTATGGAAGTGCTGAGCAAAAAGGTGCAAACAAATGTTGCAGAAATGGCCATTGAAGAGTGAACTCGACCCTACGGTCTATGGACCACCTGAATCAGCAATCACCACAGAGCTGGTTGAGCAAGAGATTAAAGGCTTCATGACCGTTGACGAGGTACTGCAAAACCCGTAAAAAATTAAACTACAATTATATTTTTCTCAGCCTCCAAAAGTTCTACAATTTTTAGCTTACAAAACTGGAATGCAGGCCGTTGAAAAGAAGAGGCTGTTCATCCTGGACTACCATGATCTTCTATTACCATACGTGAACAAGGTAAGAGAGATCAAAGGGACAACTCTGTATGGATCAAGGACACTATTCTTCCTAACTCCTTCTGGCACATTGAGGCCACTGGCCATTGAACTAACTCGGCCACCGTTGGACGGGAAACCCCAGTGGAAGAAAGTGTACAGACCCAGTTGGAGTGCCACGGATGCATGGCTTTGGAGGCTGGCTAAGGTTCATGTCCTTGCTCATGACTCTGGTTATCACCAGCTTGTTAGTCATTGGTATGCACTATTTTATTCACTGTTTATATGTTGGTCTGATTCCCCATCGGAGAGCTTGACCATACATTCAAAATGCATAATCTGTAGTGTAATTTATGGGTTAGGAATCATAAGCCTCATACAAGTAGGCCTTCAATGGATCTAATTGTATTCAATTTGTTTTGACGTAAATGTGAATTTGACTTAAAAATTTCAATCTAGATCTGATTCAATACCTAACAAACCATATCTAACAATCAATTTATATTGTGTATCCGATCTAAAAATCTCAATTGAGCAGAATTTAAAATTTTTTGCATAAATTTCAACTATGTTTCATCAGTAATAATTATAATTCGTTTTAGCTCATAATGGGACTGGATATTAGTATATTTAAATCCCAAGTTTTGATGTACAATGCAAAGGATTAGGATTTTGGTAATTTGTCAAAAAAATCAATACATGTTGGACTTATTAAATTTAAACCAGATTCAAAGTAAAATATGATCGTTTGGCAAGTCTATTGGGAGTTGAGAAAAAAAGTTTGGATGTGAGATTTCTTTTGTTTATGTTGAGTTACGTTGATTTGGAACTTCCTTTGCTTTTTTTACAGGCTAAGAACTCATTGCTGCACAGAGCCTTACATAATTGCGACGAATAGACAACTTAGCACGATGCATCCAATATTCAGGCTGTTACACCCACATCTTCGCTACACAATGGAGATCAACGCGTTGGCTCGAGTAGCCCTCATCAATGCAGGTGGCACCATAGAGTCATCGTTTTCGCCTGGAGAGTACAGTATGGAGATTAGCTCTGCTGCCTACGACCTTCTGTGGCAGTTCGACCTTCAGGCACTGCCAGCAGACCTGATTAGCAGGTACGTAATTCTGTTTGAACCCTCTTGAAACTGAACTAATAACATTTAACAATTTGCATATCATTCATTTGTGTAGTTTTTTAAACGGGTAACTTATATCCTATATGATTTGAATTAGTGACATTTCACCACCTCGTATTTTAGAAAATGTGACCTCGAAAATCCGAGCAATGCATCTTAAAGTCTTCTTATAATTCCTTGTTGACTTTGACTATTATAACGGGATTATGTGTGGTAGCACTCGACAACAATTTAGTATCGAAAACAATACTACCCTTTATTATTTGTATTATTTTTCTTCATAAAAAATTTATACAAATTGAAAAATCTACTTAATACAAAGGAAAGGAAAAGAGAAAAGATTGAATTTTCTTCAAAATCTTGTCCTTTAAGTTTCAATCATAAATTTTCACAAAATTCTACCGAGGTTTTAGTTTAGTATAGAGCCATAGAGGTTATAGGTTTCTTAATAATATGAAAATAATGTGTTAATTTGTCATTTTCAAACTTCATTTGCAGAGATAATTGATCTGACACTTTTGAATTTTGCTGATGGTAGGGGAATGGCAGTGGAGAATCCAACGGCTCCGCACGGCCTGAAGCTAGCAATAGAAGACTATCCTTTTGCCAATGATGGTCTAATACTATGGGATGCCATCAAAGAGTGGGTTACTGACTATGTCAACCACTATTACCCATCAAAAACCCTAGTACAATCCGATCAAGAGCTCCAAGAATGGTGGACCGAGATCCGAACGGTTGGCCACAGAGACAAAAAGGATGAGCCGTGGTGGCCGGTGCTCGACACGCCCGAGGACCTGATCGGAATACTCACCACTATAATATGGGTAGCATCAGGCCACCATGCAGCTGTGAACTTTGGTCAGTATGATTTTGCTGCATATTTCCCCAATAGGCCTACCATTGCTAGGACCAAAATGCCTTGTGAAGAAGAACTAAGTGAGGAACAATGGAAGAGATTCGTGGAAAGACCTGAGGATGAACTACTCTCTGTCTTCCCTTCTCAAAAACAAGCAACGCAAGTTATGGCTGTTTTGGATATGTTATCGAATCATTCGCCTGATGAGGAGTACATTGGCAAAACCATGCAGCCCTCGTGGTCAGAAAATCCAATAATAAAGGCTGCATATGAAAGGTTTAGTGGAAGATTGATGGAGCTTGAAGGAACTATTGATGCTAGAAATGCAAACAAGAATTTGAACAATAGGACCGGAGCCGGTGTGGTGCCATATGAGCTTCTGAAGCCATTATCAGATCCTGGGGTGACCGGACGTGGAGTCCCGAATAGCATCTCTATTTGAAGATGAATGTGCTGGGGGAGTGAAGGTTTAGAACCTGTATTGGTGAGATGTCAACGTAATGTATGAAAACCTCTAAGAGGAGGAATATATAGTTCGAAACTTCTATGAATATATTGTCATCTGTAAGGCTTGAAACTACTCCATTAGTCATCAATGGCATGAATATTTGGTCATTTTCGGTTTCATTATTGGAAAAAGGAAAACAATAGGATGCCTTCTAGCTAGATCGAAGTGATCTTAGATTATTATCATTTCAAGTACTAAAATTTCCTCAAATAATATATTTGATGCTAAATCACTAGTAAGAATATTTCCCCGAGCTATATCTAAAGATCCAAGTAAGACAAGAGTTCAGCCAGTTTGGATAGCAGTAAGGGTTAGCTCAGCTATTGTCAAACAGGTTCAGCCGATTTAAGACATCTCGGTTATGAACACTAAGTACAACATAAGGAAATATGACCTCACTAGGCTTGATCCAAGTAAGAGCCAACTTTGTCATGTCACCAGCTTCTAAAAGCCACTAATGCCGAGGGAATGTAGTCTTTAGCGGCCAAATATTTCAGGAAATTCTAACAAACTGGGGGACCATCCCATGATTACTTGAGGGCCTCCCAACTCTAGGGTATATAAAGGCACACTCATGCCTCACTTAAGAACTAAGTCCAATTGTATACACCAAGTGTGATCATCTCCTTCCTCTCCAAGTAATATAAACCCTAAGAGCGAGAAACTCTATTAGAGTGGACTAGTGAAACACTTCAGTTGGTGAACCATTTAATCCGTTGTGTTCCTCATCTATTCACACACATCGTGCATTCCATATTCTGCACATTTATGCCACCGGAGAGCTCCTCGGCCTCTTTTTCTCATATTTCCCAGTTTATTACACCACCAATTTTGTACCGCCTGTGGGAACGATAGGTCATCGTTCTTCTCTACATCAATTATGTCTCTAATTGATTGATGGTTTTCATTAGAAGTATGAGTAAGAATCCGGACAACTAGCAACGAGTTCCTCCACCCCTTGTTCCTTTAGTGACTCTGCCTCTAGGGGAAAAGCTAGAAACTTATTCGCAGATTATGCTCCGTCTTCTCAGATAAAATCAGGAGCTTATGACCCTCATTATTGCTCAAAATCCTCAACAACAATTACCACGAGACCCTCATCCTCATCAGCCAACTCTCGGTGGGGTGATTGAGGAAGACCATTAGAGTCATTTAGGGGAAAATCTCTGACACCAGCAACCTCGAGTAGAACCAGAAGTTGAAGCACAAAGTAGAGCTCATGGGGATAAGAGGTGAGACCCTCAGCCTCCCCTCCAGCATAATCCCTTGAATTAGTACTTCAAAGACTTTATTAGAGAGGTTTAGAACAAGCTAGGTAACGTTGAGGATATAGTGAAAAATTGAGTCCCTATCACAATGGAGGCTTTGATCTAGAAGACATAATCCTCATTTATACTGGAGATTCAACATTTCCCTCTCTCAAATGAGTTCAAGATGCCCCAAATCAAGGCCTTCCCTAGAACTAAAGACCCATTCAATTACCTCAATACTTACAAAAATCAAATGGAACTCCATAGATACCAAAACCTTATCCGTTGTTGAGCATCCACCATCTCCTTGAAAGGGCTTGCTTTGGCAAGGTACGATAGGTTGGCACCTTCCCCGATCTCTTTCTTTAAAGAACTTTCCTTGTAATTTTTTTTCCCATTACATGGGCGCAAGGATCCACCTCAAGCCAATCTCCTCTCTTCTTAGCCTAATGTAGGGGCCAAATGAGGCATTGAGAAGTTATGTCTAGAGGTTCAACCAGGAATACTTGCAAGTGGATGGCCTAGATGACAAGGTTGCCTTGATGGTCTCACGGCCAAGCTCTAAACGTCCTATTTCTTCTTCTTCATCTCCAAGAACCCTAATGCTAGTATGGTAGAAGTGCTGGTGAAGGCTAAAAATACATAATTGGAGAAGAGGTGCTCTGTGTGAGATGTAGATCTCTGTTGCACTAAAGCAGCACACTGGAAAAAAATAAAAGAAAACTAGCCCTAGGGAGGGACCAGGATCATTCTCTGAGGAGAGACTGGGATCGTTCCCCTAAGAGGAACCGATCCCCTTGGAAGAGAGGAGACATAAGGGACCGATTGGGACCCCCAAAACCCAATTTGTAATCGAGGTTCATTCCAGAGTGATTCATTCCTTTGAACACCTCGGTAGCACAAGTGTTACACCAGGTACATCATAAGAAATATATCAAGTGGCCTTTGAAAATGAGGACAAACCCTCACAAAGAGGGACTACAACAAGTATTTTAACTTTCATAGAGACCATGACCATGACCATGATACAGATGAATGCATCCAATTAAAAAAATGAGTGCCTCATTCAAATGGGGCAGTTCAGGCATTTCATGGCTAGAGAGGAAGGGAATCAAGTCGAAAATCAACAAGAACCACCTCAGGTAAGACAACAACATCAACAAGCCATTGGTGAAATTAGGGTTATCTTTGGGGGTTTCGCTGGAGGAGGAGAGTCTAGCTTAGACATAAAGGCTCATGTGTTGAAAGTCTGATCAAAGGATTTTCCCAAGGTCCAAGCAATCCATAAAGACCCATACCTTAGCTTGGAGATAACCTTCTTAGACATTGATTTGGAAGGATGCCAACTCCCCCATGATGACCTTCTGGTTATTAAAGTCATCTTCACCAAGAAAAATGTTTAGTGACTCTTGGTTGACAACGACAACTCGATTAATATAATTTTTTTAAACACCTTTAAGACACACTTGGTGGGATTCTCGAGAGAGAAGGTATATTCGCTTGACTATATTTAATTCGTTTTAACTGTTGGAGAATCCCCTTATCAGATCACTACTATTGTAAAATTCGATAAATTTAAACTTTTGTAAACAATGGCAAAACAATAATTTTATCACTACAGTACGGGTTAAAAATTTAAATTTTTCTAGACCTTGGATGACGAAATAGATCTCACCATTGGATTCATCTTGCGAAATTTAATTACCACGTCAAATTTCATCAAATTTTGAAATAGTCGAATTTTTTACGTTTTACGAAACGGTCAAGTCTCGGGTGACCCAAAAACAGAATTTTTAATAAAATTTTAAAATTTGAGAAATATTTTAAGTTAAATTAAAATAAAATTAATTTGAACTTGAACCGGGGCGAAATTTAATTATTTCAGGATAAAAATGGACCCGAAAACAAAAGGGTTGTGTGGCGCGTTGTGAGCCAAGTATTCTAAGAGTATAAATAGGAAAAAAAATCAGAATATTATCCCATTCTTCAGCCGGACTCCAAACGTTGAGAGAAAGAGAGAGAAAGGGAGGGAAACTCTACATTTTCTCTACGATCTACAAGGCTACGGTACTCAAATCCACTCGGGACAAGAATAAAAGTTGGTCTTCTCGTCAAGGGCTACGCCTATGTACCAAAAATGAAAGGTTTCACCGAAAGTTAAAAAATAAGATTTGGGGAAGTGAAGATTCAAGGTCGTTTTAGGTTCTTGAGACTATCCAACATCGTTTTACGTTTCAAGAGGTAGGGGTTCTCCTACCTTAATTCATTTCTCACTTGTAGTGTTATATAAATGTGTGGGTCAAAGGGGAATATGTATTTCACTCATTTATACATATGACATGGGTGAAATGGTATAGAAAACGAGTGTGTAATGGGTTGAGATATAATTTTCTAGCTTAGAATTGTGATGTGGAACTTACTTGTTTGGTAATTCCATGGGAAAAGTGATTATATGAGCATGTTATATGTTTTATATTATATTTTGTGAATGATATGAAAATTCTTATGTGATAATATGAATTGTTGTCTTGAAGGTGTTTGCCAAAATGCTTATGTGTGGATTAAGTTGTTATGACATGATGATGTATAACATGCTTAGAAAATGTATTGGAAAGAAATGTTAATATGTACTCATTGAGATATTGACATTGTGATGATTTATGGAATTTATATGCATATAATATGAACCTCTGTGGAACATGTAGACATGTGGTTTAAAATTGCTCATATGACATTCATTATATATGGGCATGATGTTAGAATAGCAATGATACATTACATTGCATATGCACGTAGACATAGCATTTTATGGGTGTGGGTGCATGGTTGACATCAAACACCATGTAGGTGGATGATGGGTGGACTCGAGGAAGTTAGATTGAATATCCGGCTGAGTCGCACGGTTACATGAAAATGAATTGGGTTAGGGTAGTAAGAAGGGTTAGACTATCCCTCGGGTGAGAGACACAGTATTTGGATACGCACTTCTGTTGGTATAAGAGCCCAAAAAGTGTGTCGGTGTATGCAGAACTATTGGTGAAAGTCCATGAATTTTGTGTCAGTTGGGTGACCGTTGGTGTAAGTCCATAAATACTCGCCCCAAGAAAGACCTAGAGATTTTTAGTTAGTCATTGGGTGTGTAACACCAATGGCAGGGGCTTGAAAAGTCCAATTTTGATACTCATTGCATAACATGGGGTGAAGGTAAATAATCGGAGCTAGAAAAACTCGATTTTATACACATTGGCATTGCATAGGTCGCGGAGTCAGGAAGGGCTCGGGTAAATTGCATGAATGGGCATCATCTCAAACCATGACATGGTATGTTAGATTTCAACTTTGACTTGCTTAAATGTTGGTTGGAATGATTGTTGTTGTTAAATGTTGCATGTGAACATTGCATATGCACTTAGGTTGGGAAGTAGCCCTTGTAGAAAATACTTTACTAGGCGTTGGCTCACCATATATGGAAAACATTTCAGGTACGGGTCATATTCCGGTGGATGACACACATTCGGGGCCTCAAAGATGAAAAAGAGTCGGGTTGTGGCTCTTGAACCGAGTTTATGTAAAACTTTTGTTTTAAAATTTCATTTTAAGTATGTAATTGTGCAAATGGGCTTGTAATCATATAAAATTGATTGTAATAGAACTGGCATGAATCATGTATAATGTAGAAATCTA